AGGAATGATGGTGTTGAAAGGCATTGAAGCAGCAGTCTTTTGGCTGGACAGTCTATCAAGGGAAGTTTGACAGGAAGATTCTCAAGACTCCTTAAGCCCACTGACAAATAGCCCTTATTCCTGATTTCCATGGAGATACAGTCTTGAAGATGCTGCAAGGGACTACGAACTGCTGGACAGAGGTGAAGGACCCAGGGAAAGGGTTGTTGTTTTTTTTCATTCCTTCTAGTTGAAGGCCCAGGGTTTGAAAAGGAGAAAAAAAGACTGTGAGAACTGGCTATACAGAAGGCATTACTGGGAATGATTTGGATTCTCTGATAATGGGTTACATTTCAGAGATTAAAGACTCTGGACCTTATGGGAACTGAGAAACAGGAGTTCAGAAAGTACCTTACCAACCTGATCCAGAGGGATCCTGAGTGAGAGGTGAGGGATCTCCCCAAAAATAGTACAATCCAAGTCTTGGATGGATATGCAAAAGCTTTTCTCACCAAGAACATTGTCCACCCCGCTTCTTTTGAGACCCATCAACTCATAAACATTTCAAAAAAAAGGTTGCAGTTGCTACCAATTCTTCAGACTCAGTCCAGTCATTCTCCAATTCCAAGTCTACAGTGGCCAAAAAGAAAAACCCGAGAAGACTTGTGAAAGCTTGTCCTTTTAATAACATTCATTAGTTAGAAAAGATGCTACTAGTCTATTTATTTTCTTCCCAATCCAATGAATGTTCTCATCACCCCATTTCTGTTCTTTTTTTTCCCCCTCCTCTTTTGCTGTTCCTGCTGGAAGTGTGGATGTTATGTTTTTCTGTGCAAGACAAAAATCATTAGTTTATGCATATGGAAAATTAATTTAATAAATGAGACATTTTATAGGAAATTCATTTTATTCAGTGATTGAAGACAGCTTTAAGTACAGAGAACGGAAGAGGAAGAGGAGAGAGAGGAGAAAAGGGACAATAGCCCTGTTTAATCTTCAGGCTTGTTGTTATAGTCACTTGTGGTGTTCCAATATCTCAGGGGCTGCCACAAAGAAGAGGGGGTCAACTTATTCTCCAAAATACCTGAAGGCAGAAGAAGAAGTAATGAATAGAAACTAATCAAGGAGAGAACCAACCTAGAACTAAAGAGAAACTTCCCGAGAGAACAATTAATCAGTGGAACAACTTCCTCCAGTGCTCCAACACTGGAGGTTTTTAAGAAGAGATCGAACAACCATTTGTCTGAAATGCTTGAGCAAGGGGTTGGACTAGAAGGCCTCCAAGGTCCCTTCCAATTCTGTTATTCTGTGCTGTGCCTTATGACCAATTCATTGTCCTCATTTATTTCTGTTCTTTTCAGCTTTGGGGATAAGTCCACCCACTCATTATTTGGCAAGAGAACCTTGTCTAGTTATTCATTCATTTTTCCCATCATTCTTCAAATGCTGTTAATGGTCTTAATTAATGAGGTTATGAAAAAAACATATTGTATTTGACTCACTTGAAATTGGAATTTAAACCATTGGTTTATATGCTCATCCACAAGGGGATTTCCATCCAGAATCCAATCTCTTAACTGTCTAAAAAATGTTTTACCATCTCAGCTTATATTGAACAAATTTATCCTTGGGAATGAGAAAATCAGAACGCCAAGCAGTTTAACTTTTTCCAAATTTCTAAAGTAAGTTTAAACTGTGAACGTAGGAAAAGGGGTAGTAATTTCTTAATGCTGTGGATGAACACTATCCTCCTAAAATGAAAAGGAATCCAATGTTAACATAGTTCTATTTGTTGAATATTCTTCAATTCCTAATGATGTAAACTGCTATTTTAATTAAAAAGTATATAACATGGAAATTTCAGAAAATTGGAGCCATGTTCCAACTTGCACCTGACTATGGTGAAAGGACGTTCCGGCCATTTCTTTTTTCTGCTGTTTTCCTTTCATGTTTCCTTCATCTCATCCCCAGTCTGTGAGGCAGCCTTAAATGATCATTATTATGTTAGCATTACTGGTGTTAATGCAGTGTTTTATTCTGAGACCCTCCAAGGTCAGCCTCAAGATCTATTAGGTTGGTTAGCCTTTGTCAGACACTGACTTGGACAGAAGTCAGGGAAGAGAAGCAAGAACAGGATCAGCAAATGGGGATAGCCAACATCCTGCCAGTCAAGTATTTTGCTAAGTAAGAGAAGGGAAGAAAACTCTCCAGCTCAACAATGGGGAAAATCAAGTTTGCCTTGCAATAATAAAAAAAAAAATCTCCTTATTTAGAATTTTGGTATGGTAAACTGCTTCCATCTAGTGGAGCTAGTGACATGTTGCAACAAATAAAAGTCCAGATTTTTCTTAGAAACCAAACACATTCATGATGGCATATGCTTTCATGGGTATGAATTTTCTTGATTAAGTGCAACTCTCCTAATTCTTCCGTTATGAAGATCTATTTCTAGCATCTCCAGTTAAATGATGGTTAGGGAGGAAAGGGTAGAAACAGAATTCTATAAGAAAGGCAGCTGTCTGTCAAAGTCTGTATGATAAGTTAGGGGAGTTAGAGAAATAGTTTGGCCTGTGTTCCTATTAATGTCATCCTCATTTAGTCTCTCTCTCTCTCTCTCTCTCTCTCTCTCTCTCTCTCTCTCTCTCTCTCTCTCTCTCTCTCTCTCTCTCTCTCTCTCTCTCTCTCTCTCCCCACCTTTATATACACATATAAGGCAAATCTCCAAATAGAGGATACAGCCTCTCATATTTTTAATGAGGCTGTATCCTCATTAAATACAAATTCCTGAGGATATGATTACAAATTCCTGAGGACTAGCACCCCTCAAACTGGCAAAAACAAGAAACAACCTAAACATGCTCATTTCAAAAGCAGCAGCGTTTGTGAATTAGAGCTGTCCACTTAATCCCCAAGGGATTCTTCCATCTACTAGATATCTTTAAAGCTGTCAGAAAAGGCATCATTTTAGGTACGGGAGAAAATACAGATCGCTTTATTTCAGGAAGCAAAGGAGGTATTCACAGGCAAAGCAAATGCTCTGCAAAGATTCTTTGTTAAATGTGAAATGTTTTCAGCTTAGGTTCCTTTATTTTGTTTTTTAAAAAAATGAAAATGCTAAACAGCATCAAGACCAGGATCAGAAAAATTTTCCAGTCTTCCTCCCAAATGTGAGGCTTTGTACACCAGAGTCATTTGTTTTTCCTTCTGCTTTATAACCTTATATAGTCACTTGGCAGGAGGTGAGATATATACTTCTAACCCAACTCCTTTGGAGGAAATCTGACATTCCTTTTCTGCCCACTGCATATCTGTATTTGGTTGCCCCAATTTTCAGAGCTCCCCAAATACCAGGTAAAGGTAGTGGTCCAGCAGCTCTACAGAGGGATGCATTTGAAGCCAAGAATCACCTAGAAAGAATCCAGGAGCAAGTGGGAATTTACTGTTTTGCCCCCCACCCTCCTGAGCCTGGATCTCTGCCAGCTGCCTCTGATGAAGGGCAATATATGATCAGCCAGTCAAAGAGGAATTATGTTTATGGGACTCTGGGTTTCAGCCCCCTTTTGATTCAGATCCTTGCAAATCCCTTCCTTGTTTGTTGCTTCACATTCCTGGAACTACTTTGCAAAACATCAAGCCAAAAGGCCTCGTCAAAATGGTGTCCAACTTCACACTCAATGCCACATGTGTCAGTGTATAGGATTCCAGCCAAAGAGCTTTTTTTAAAAAAATTCCTGGGTAGAGCTGGGTTTGAAGACCCAACAGACACAGTTTCACACTTTATAAAATAGCTCGATATTCTCATGAGTTTTTAAGGGCCGATTGTCCTGTGCAATCTCCCCACACTGAGGCATGAATGAAGTCCCTCTCCCGAGCCCTACCTTCCGAGAGATTAACAGTGTGACCACGGAGAAGACCTACTTGCTTAACCCATCATAGCATTCTGCCTGTTTCTCCTTCACCCGCAAATGCTTGTCTGTTTTAATTGGTAACCAGAACAATCTAACCATGGTACGGTAGACCCACCAGGTTATTGTTTTCTCTGTGCACATAGAAATGAGGTGGGGAAGAAGAAGGAGGTGGAGGAGGGGGGAGGAGGTGGAGGGGGAGGGGGAGGAGGGGAGAGAGAGAGAGAGAGAGGGAGGGAGGGAGGGAGGGAGAGAGAGAGAGACTGGTCTGCTTTTGGTGCCAGAGGTGCCTTCAAGTTATCCTGGACTTAGGACTGCCTGGACAAATCTCTGCAGGTTTTTTGATAACATTTTTTTAGAACTGGCTTTCAGAATCGTCTCATTTTCAGCCCTTCTTCCTAGGCTTACTGGCTCAAAGTCATCCAGCTGAATTTGTTCCTAAGGTAGGACTAAAACTCACAGCCTCCTGACGTTTAAGACTTGTGCCTTTAACCACTACACCAAACTGTCTCACTCTTCCATTATTGCTCTCTGTAGAAAAGTCCTGTTTAGGGGAGGATTCCATCTGGGTGATGTCCCAGGAGGCAATCCATCCCTCCAACTGGAAACGAATCTGCAGCTGTTCTCATCTACTTTTAGTTCAGTGGCACATCACATGTTTCGCAGGCAGTCGATCCCAGCTTCAGTCTCTGAAAGGAAAGGATTCTTCTCTGACCAAGAGTCCGTCCGGCAAGCTGTTTGCCTGTCAGAATAGTTAGTTCTGGAAAAGATGGGAAGCGCCATATGCTAATAGCCTAGATCAAGTTACATGCGCTCCCTCCCTCCCACCCACACACCCTCCTGCCACACGAACTGTGCCAAAGTTAGCGAATGACAAGAGATTCCCCAGGGACACTCGGCTGTCCCATCTTCATCACTGTTAGCTCGTTTGCATCGCTACCGTTCTTGTATCAGCCGGCTATTTGCAAGCAGCCTGGAGCAGCAGCGAAAGGTCAGAGCAAATGTTTACATTTGCCAGACGGGTTTGGAAGACCGAGGGGGGGGGGGCGCGTCGGCAGAGGTGATCAACTGTCAGTGAAATTGGACTCACCCGAGGTCAGGGGGCGGGCTAGCAGAGGTGATCAACTATCGGTGTAATTGGACTCACCGCCTCAGCATCGCAAGGGCTGATAGGCAGGTTTGGACATAGCTGGTTTAGGTTTCAGGCCTACTGTGCCCTGCAGGAATTGTTGCTTTTTGCTAGGGTTTATTGTGACCATTTCCAACGACTAGTGCTGCTCTGGGAGGCAGCTATATAAATGCCAGGCTTTTTTGCATTTGAGCTTCTGGAAGGGCTCTGCTGTCTTGTTAGGGCTGACCACCACCTGCAGATCCAAGCTGTCTACCGTGGATGGCCTAAGCATTTAAGTGAGGTAGCTAGAGGGAGCTGCAGGTGAGTTATGGGGACAAGCCTCTTGCCCCTTGTCCCTGGCTTACCCTTGCTGGAGACAGTGACGAGAGAAACTTGGCCCTGCTTGTCAGCTGGATCCACGCCAAGCCATTTGTTTAGCTTCCCGGCTGGGGGTGAGGCGACAGCAGAAAGTTCCCTAGAGCAGGGCGGATGGGATGGTGCCTGTGCGTGTCTCGCTTTGGGCTTGAATAATGGCTGGGGTCCCTTCAAGGGGCCACAAAATCAGAGGATGGTGAGCTCCTTCAGGGCTGGAATATCTAACGTTGTGGAGGCTGTCACGTCTCTGGACACACAGAGCGCCAACACATCAGGACAACAGACTCGGAGGAACCAGAGAGAGGAGAGCTTGCTTCTCGCAAAGAGGATGGATCCCAGCCATGCTCCCTTCTGTGGCAGTGACTCTCTCCTTTCGGGTCCATGTTTTTGCATGGTGTTGGGCATTTCCAGCTCCAGAGTCTAATTTACCCTTTCGGCCATCAGCTCCCATCCTTGGCTTTGTGCAGAGCCTTGGGGACGGGGGCGGCGGTGGTTGCAGGGGTGGCCTTTGCTGAATTCTCTGCCTCTGTGGAACAGCAGCCGGGATGTAAGTGGGAATGCTCTCCTCCTGCTCCAAGCTACACAACTCCCCAGGCGTTTCCCCATCCTCCAAGACCAGCAGCTCACCTGTCCTCTCCAAGAAAATGAGCATGTTCCCCAAACTTCGTCTCCAGAGGAGGTTTACTGTGGCCCACCCGCTTTGGTAAGAGGACTTGGGGGGGGGGACTTCTCTGGGGCCGTTGTATGCGCTCCTACTTCAGACCTTCATAACAATGAGCTTGAAGAAAGACAAACTAACATCTAACCCAATATTCTCCTTCTAGCAGTAGATAGTTAAATCTTTCTAGTAGCAATCCTCCCCTTTGTTTTCCGTTTACTCACAGATACTCCACAAAGAATTTCCATTTAGCAGTTAAACCTGTTCTTCATGGATATGTTTCATTGTCCTTTAAAATAATCTCAGATATCCTGTAGGGGGAAAGATTACAGGTTAGCTCTCCACTGGATAAGAACAGGCATCCTGTTGTCTTGAAAGGGAAAAAAGTGTCCTTCGTTTAAAATTCCATTTATCACTTTCTGGACAAGTAAAATTTGTTCATGCTTAAAGTTCGCTAGAAGCCTCCGTTGGTCCTTAGGAGCAAATCAGATGCAGGATAAACAAGTATCTTTGAACCAGATTGTCTTTCGTTATTAAATGAAACCTCCCACTGCAAAGTCACTCTATCTGGGAACATACAGAGGAAATAGAGCAGCTGTTTTCTTCCCTGTTTCTTCTGAGCTTCCTGCAGGCATTTTGTCTTTTAAGGCCATGAGCTTGATCTAGGATTTTCTTTTAACCTCCCCAAGCAAAATAATAAATCTGCATTTAAGTAAGGAAATAAATCAGTTAAGTCTCTACTCTGGACAAAAAGGGATGTTTTAAATCTATTACAGTACTTTCTTGAATGTTTATGATTCTTGGCAACGTAAGTTTGTTTGTTTGTTTTTCCCCTTCTGCACTCAGTTTTGCTTTTGACCATGGAGAAATTGTCTCCAAAGGGAGAGAGAGATAACCTCAGTCCATTGTGAGATTCCGGCATGTCCCTTCATCTAAGGCAAACCACACACTCACAACTTGTTCTCGCCAAGTCCCTTCCAGCCGCATCAACAGCTATTTATAGGAGAGTTCCAGATTCCAAAAGTATCTTCCCCAATGGGGTCAGGAACAATTAAAGCAAACAAAGTGGGGTGGAATTCAAAACAAAAGTCGGGATGGGTCATTTGCCAAATGCTTTCCCTCCTCTGGCGAGTGGGATGGAGATTAAATTGAGCTGCTCCGTTGCGCTCATGAGGGAGGGGTCCTCCGTTCATATGCATACCTCGCCACATCTGCTGCTGTTGTTCTGGGCCTTCGGTTTGGCTTTCCCAAAGCATCACGTGTTATTTTGCACATTCCTGGAACACAATTTTAGAATGAGAGCATTGGAAGATGCCACTTAGACCTGAAGGTCCAATTCCCTATATGGTGAGAGGATCCAGGATAAAGCATCCCCATCAAGGGTCTAGCCAATCTGAAGCACTTTAGTGAATTGACGGGGAGGGGGCAGGCTGCTGCTTCCACACTTCAGCTGCTTCCATTCTGTTAGGAAGGTTTTCCTTAACATTCAGCAGCTATTACAGGTAGTCCTCACTTATAACTATTCATTTAGTGACTATTCGAAGTTACCATGGCACCGAAAAAAAGAGACTTACCCTTATGACCCTTGCAGCATCCCCATGGCCACATGATCAAAATCAGGACACTTGGCAACCAGCATATATTTGTGAAGGTTGCAGTGTCCCAGGGTTATGTGATCGCCATTTCTGACCTTCCCAGTCAGCTTCCAACAAGGAAAGTCAAAGGGGGAAGGCAGATTCGTTTAATACAGGGCTCCTCAAATTGGCCACTTGAAGACTTGTGGACTTCAACTCTCAGAATTCCCCAGCCAGCATAGTCCACAAGTCTTAAAGTGGCCAAGTTTGAGGAGCCCTGGCTTAATAGTTAAGTGAACATGATTCACTTAATAACTGCAGTAATTCACTTAACAACAATAGCAAAAAAAATAAATCATAAAATTGGGTGCAACTCCCTTAACAACTGACTTACTTAGCAACCAAAATCCTGGTCCTAATTGTGGTCGTGAGGACTACCTGTAGTCCACATCATTCTTTGTGGGGAAAGACAGAGAATTTATTTATTTATGGGATTTATATACCGCTTTAAGTGCAAGCACTCTCTAAGCGGTGTACACCAGTAAGCAATGTATATATATATTTACATTGCCCCCAACAATCTGGGCTTTTTCTTGGGCTTTTTCTGCAGGTATTTCCAATGTGTTGTTATCAGAGGCTGAATGTTCCCCGTTCTTGCAGCACTTAAGGTGGGACTGGACCAATGAAGAATTTAGGGGAGCTGTTACTTCTCTCGATCTGAACATGATTCTTTAGGTGGAAAAAGCAGTGAGAGAAACGGAAAGAAAGAATGCACTAACGTTTTCCTGGTAGACTATGCAGGTGTAAACCCGGATTTGTCAAAGCCAGAGATATCTTGGCTTCACTCAAGCTTGCTGAACTCCAGACGGCGCCTAAAGAAATGGACGGCAAGGGCCGTGTCCACAGAAAGGCCTTAATCAGTTCCATTAAGAACTGACCCTGCCTGTTCACAATACAGTTAACTTAGTTAGGGTAGCTTTGCGTCGTTTGCTTTTCTTTTGAAGGCTTTCATGCTGCACAAGCCTAGCAGCTGACCTGGTTATTTTAGGGCAGGGGTCTCCAAACTCAGCCCTTTTATGACTCGTGAACTTCAACTCCCAGAATTCCTCAGCCAGTGTGCCTTTACAGAGCTCCTCTTGCAGGAGATTGGATTGTTACTTTAGTAATGGAGCACCTGGTTAGTGTGAATTGTTTTTCGATAGACTTGCTTTTCTAATTTGCCATTGTTTCCTTTGCTGGCCAGGATATCCAGGAAGGGTCACATGTTTTCTTTTTCCCTTGTGAATGTTATTCCTTTGAAGATATGTTGATTTTTAATGAGTCGTCAAAAGGGCCAAGTTTGAAGACCCATTTTAGGGGTTGCATTGAACCTAGGAAAAACTTGACTAAGGGTACAAGGTGTATGTAGGCCTTGCAGCTTAGTTTGATAACCTGATTTACTTTACAGGGGACAGCAACTGGATTCCCGTAACATGCCAAGTCACACACAACCCCCCCCCCCCAAAAAAGCTGTGTGTCAGACAGATGACAAGGTGACCTTGCTCACTCTTACTGAAATATCCCCTCCACCAACAACTTCAAAAACAGTCATCTTGCCTTTGTTCAATTCATGTCTTTCTGGGCTTATGAAGTAATGTTTGGTTTATATGAATTTGATTTTGGCTTCAGGCCCACCCCTGAACTGCCAAAACCCCCGGAGTTTTCCTAGCAAATTTTCAGAAAAACGGGTTTGTGTCCATCTGTTTAAATGGAAACTGCATGACCAGGGGAAGTCTACCTCCAGGGATAAGCACTGGGCAGGGCTAATTCTTTCCATCCCCGCTTGTGGATTTCCTGCCATTCGTGAGCTGCCTGATGTTTGCAAGTGGATATAGTAATGAGTTAGACCAGGGGTCCTCAAACTTGGGGAATTCTGGGAGTTGAAGTCCACAAGTCTTAAAGTGGCCAAGTTTGAGGGCCCCTGAGTTAGACCATGGAGTTAATCCAAATGGACCTCGCGAAACTCTTGTGTTAATGAAATGAAGCCTCCCTGTGCTGAAAAAGTCTATCTCTACCTGCCTTCATTCAGCAGACTTTAATTATCAGGCAGAAAAGGGCTATTTTTTTAATATTGCTTGTTTTTTTCACAGTAGAAAGAAGCATGTTTATGGGATTTTTCAGTGTCAGGTACTCAAATAGCCTTAGGTATTAGGTGCTTTGAAGTAGAGAAAGGGAAATAATAGTAGTAGTAGTAGTAGTAGTAGTAGTAGTAGTAGTAGTAGTAGTAGTAGTAGTAATAATAATAATAATAATAATAATAATAATAATAATAATAATAATAATAATAATAATAATAATAATAATGACAGTAAGTGCCGCCTATGCAAAGAAGCTGAAGAAACAGTGGACCACTTGGTAAGCTGTTGCAAGAAGATTGCACAGACTGACTACAAGCAGCGGCATGACAAAGTAGCAACAATGGTGCATTGGAAGATCTGCACAAAATATCATTTGCCTGTAAGCAAAAACTGGTGGGATCATAAAATAGAGAAAGTCATAGAAAATGATAAAATTAAACTGCTCTGGGACTTCAGAATTCAAACAGAAAAGCACCTGCAACATAACAACCCAGACTTAACAATTGTCGATAAGAAAGACAAAAAAGTCTGGATAGTGGATGTGGCAGTGCCTGGAGATAGCAGAATAGAAGAGAAAGAACTGGAGAAGATAACAAAATACAAAGACCTACAAATAGAAATAGAAAGACTGTGGCAAAAGCAAGCAAGGTTAGTACCAATAGTCATAGGCTCCTTGGGTGCAATCCCAAAACAACTGGAGCACCACTTGAACACAATTGGCATTGACAAATTCGCTATTAGTCAATTGCAAAAGGCGGCCTTATTAGGAACTGCTTCCATCCTGCGACGATATCTGTAATACCATCAAACATCCACATCTGCCTATCCCAGGTCCTGGGTAAGGACTCGATAGGTAGACAAAATGCCAAATCCGGTCTGAACATCTGGCTGACTGTGTGATGATCCATAATAATAATAATAATAATAATAATAATAATAATAATAATAATAATAATAATAATAATAATAAAGTTGGAAGGGACCTTGGAGGTCATCTAGTCCAACACCCTGCTCAGGCAGGAAACCCTATACCATTTCAGACAAATGGCTGTTCAGTCTCTTCTTAAAAACTTCCAGTGTTGGAGCATTCACCGCTTCTGGAGGCAGGTTGTTCCACTGGTTAATTGTTCTAACTGTCAGGAAGTTTCTCCTTAATTCTAGGTTGCTTCTCTCTTTGGTTAATTTTCATCCATTGCTTCTTGTCTTGCCTTCAGGCACTCTGGAGAATAGCTTGACTCCCTCTTCTTTGTGGCAGCCCCTGAGATATTGGAACACTGCTATCATGTCGCCCCTTGTCCTTCTCTTCATTAAACTAGACATACTCAATTCCAGCAGCCGTTCCTTATAAGCTTTA